CCAATCTCCTGAAATGCGAAGGTCACTCACCCATTTGAAGAAAAAATTCCAGAAATGTCACTGCTGCATTAAATGGCATCCAACAGTTGCTGGTGATGCAGAGTCAGGTGTTACAAAGCTCAACTGTATCTGGTGCAGATCATGTTTTCACTAGACTGCTTGAATGCATTTTTTAATCTATATGGACACTACATACAGTTCCATAATTTCATCTAGCGGGATGATTTGGCGATTTTGCAGACAGCAATGATTAATGTATGTTCATAATGGATGTCATTGCTAAGCTTACATGAAGTGAGTTACGGTGAGTTGCAATAAAACGATAGTTTGCAAAATATGAGCAAACGTTTGAATGACTCAGAGATAAATAAAGTTCACATGAATTTCGTCTCTGTGAATTGAAAGAACATTTGTTTGCTGAATTTAAAATGTATTTAAAATAATATTTAAATCGATATCTAATGAATTCCATTAGAAATAGAAAGAGCCGCTGAAAAATATAAATTGATTTTAAAATAACTATTATAGATGGAATAGGTGCTGTTCAGGGGCGAATCTATTTCTTTCCATCGTTCTTTTCAGATATCGCTGCCGATTTTGCAGAGCTAAACCTATCATATGAAAAAGTAATTAATCCACAAGACAGATGCGGCTTGGTTTGTCATAGCTTCTCAACAAAATTATATGAAACGAAGCGTTCAGCCATTCGTTGTCGAAACCTGTTATTCTTTTCAAACCTTAAGGGCAACAACGCCAGAGCTTTTTCTTTACCAATCAGACAATTTCCTCAGTTACCTGAATTTAGCTGCATTCACTACGATCGTGCCTTGCCTCTTTCGGTTTGACAAGGCCCATTTCTGGTTTTGCTGTGAAAACCTGCCATGCGGAAGATGCTCTGTTCAGGAGTGATTTTAAGTTGCACTGCTTCCCGGTTTGACTTGCCTCTACGCAGCCTCAATGCATTAACGTATGACTTTCGTTCAACGGTCGTAGATATTTCGCCACAAGCCATTGGAGTTGGAGAGAATGCTGGCATTGATCAGAGTCACATTCTTTTGACAGGTTTATACTAGAAACTGGTGATCTGATATACGCTACATGGTTGCACGAACAAGCTTGAATATGTTAAAAGAAACTTATGTCCGGCAGTCATATGCCTAACAGCGTTCAGGGCACCTCACGCCAAACAACGAGTACGCTGTTTCTCTTTAGTCAGGCTACTAACATGAATCGTTGGCAAACTGTTCGTCGAGAGATCGCATCGTTTGGGTTCATGGCAGGCGTTCAAGGCTGCTGCAGCGTCTGAGGAAAATTTATTCCAACATA